TTTAATCTGGAAGGAATCTAATGCCATTAATTGGAGAGGCTATGCTTAGTCTATATGAATTAAGGAAAAATCCAAAAGCACCTTTTCAGGGCTCTTCAATTTTATTACAGGTAGAAAAATAATATTTTTAATTACAGAAATAAAAAACTTATTTTTGTATAATAATATTAATTATTTGCATTGAATTTTTTTTGCAGATGTGGTTAATGGAGAGACTATAATTAATTAGTCCTCCTGACAACAGTGAAAAATACACTACAAATTGCTTTGTGAGGCGAAAGAAGCGTTTCTCTAAGATGGGTCTCTTGCAACTTTGCTATCAAGTGAGTCGTCTCATGGTGGAAAATTGAGAAGATGGTTGGTGTCAACAAGCAACCCTTATGCCGTTGTAGACAACCATTTGCGTCTCCCCAAAACCAAACCCGGTGATGAGTACCTTTAACGTCGAATCATAATCTCTTGAAGTGAAAATGTGGAAAGTCTAGTGTTGCGGTTAGTTTTATTGCGGTTAGTTTTATTTCTTTTCTTTCTCATTGTTTTTGAAAACCTATTCTATGAAAACCGCCAATCTAATTTGGTTTGGTCCATGGCAAGGGTTCAATAATAATGTAGTTGGGTCGGGTTCAAAAAGAGCTTTCAAACGATATATTTTAAGCCTAATTCCGATGAATAATGAAGAAGTTATGGGCACGATTTGATATTTATATGCGGCCCAATGATCTAGAGGAGGTCCTATTATTGTTTTATCATTCCAAATGCGATTATGATTGATTATAGTCTTCTAGAATCTTGTAGAAGGTTCTTTCTAATCCTAATTTAATTAGCATTTATAAGTTGACTTTTAAGAGTTTTATCTACAATAAAAGAAGTGTTTTGAAGGAAATTACAGTTTTACCCTCTTGTATGCTTAAATTTTATCAAAGTAAAAAAATGCGTGGAGAACTAATTGCAGCGCCGTACGACACGTCTGTCGCCTGGCGACAGCCCTGTCGTCTGGCAACAGGCGCGTGTTTGGCGACAACGTCGTGTTTTATTCTTTTCGAGACTCTGATTTGTTTTTTATCATATTCGGCTGATTTTCTCTATAAAAAGCCTCCTAAAACCTCCGTTTTCAATCACTAACTCTCATTAAGAAATTCTTAATTACTCTATCTTTTTCTTTTCTAAACTAGCCTTTTCTCAAGCAAAATTCCGCACTCACAAGATCTAGACACACTTAGCCAAATTCAAAGTTGCCTTCGCCCTAGACGTTAAAGGTTTAATTTTTGAGGGTTTGGTCCCAAATCTCTCTTTCAATTATTTAATTTAATTGTTTGTTTTATATTTTCCTTGAAGTTACTAACGTGTGTATCTTTTTATTAGAAAGAGGTACGAGGCATCCAAGTAAGTGTTTTAATTGTTTGCATTGTTATTATAATATAGAAATCATATCTAGGTTGTTATTTTGATTCCTAGTATCATGTTTAGGTTTATATTTTGATTCCTAGTATTATGTTTAGGGAAAAAGTTATAATATCAAATATGCTTATTATTATGTTGCTTGATATTTATTTATTGTTATTGCTTGATCACGCCTTTTATGCATTTTTAAAGGGAATTGGTACTTGTAATCACGCAAAATAAGATAATTAATAGTCTTGTTTAGGGTTAATTTGATTATAATTCAAGTGATCGCCAATAATAGTTTTGTTTGTTCATTAATGTTCAACTAACATAGATAAACAGGTTTAGGATAAACCTATTGATTGCATGTTAGTCAGAAAGCGCACATGAATACGATCATAATAAAGTAGAGGCCTATTATTAGGGCAGGTTCAATCTCTTTTAGGTTGGATTTGTACCTTCATCCCCGAACTTTTTTTTTTTTTTTTGGAAAATATGAATTTTATTGCCAAAATAAGAAAGTTACAACTTACAAGAAGCTAAGCTGTAACAACACCAAACACCATAGACCAAAAAGGCCAAACTAACACCAACAGTCCAAGAATCTACCCAAACCACCTTCTAGGAAGGGTGCTTGAGAGAAACAAGGACACCTACTGAACTCAAGCTCAGATCCACCTTCTAGGAAGGGTTCTCAGAGCCAGGACCAGACAAGAACACCTAAGGCAAAACCAGCACAAAAAATAGACAAAAAGAACAGCTGAAAACACCAAAACTAGCCTAAACCAGCAAACAAAGAAGCAAAAGCAGCTAACAAAACAAGAGAGAAACACCAAGTGCATACACAGCTAACAAAACTTGTTGTCAGACTTGCTGACCAGAAAATAGCAGCAGCAGCAAACCTGAAACAGCAAACCAGAAACAACAACAGCAAACCAGAACTGCAGCAGCAACACCTAACAGACTTGCTACATTAGAACAACCTGCCAGAACAGCAAGTGCATACACAACAAACAAAGAAGAAATAGCAGTAAACAAAGAAGAAAGAGCAGCTAACAAAACATGTTGTTAGACTTGCTGACCAGAAAATAGCAGCAGCAAAAAACCTGAAACAGCAAACCAGAACCAGCAACAGCAAACCAGACCTGCAACAGCATCACCTAACAGACTTGCTACATTAGAACAACCTGCTAGAACAGCAAGTGCATACACAACAACCACCTGAAAACTATCTGCCACCCAGAAACCAGGCTGCAGCATACAGAAACAACTGCTACAGACTTCAGAAACCAGAACAACAACAACCACCTATAACAAGAACAGGACAACAACAAGACCAGTTAGAACAGCAATCAGAACTAGCTCCATGTCAACCCAACTGAGCAAAAAAAACTACACAATTAAGTGCTTGCTTCCAGCTGGGATTCTAGAAGCTGAATGAAAGATAATATCTCTGACTAGAACATCAACACGCTTACAACAACCAGTAAACAAAACTGCATTCCTCTGTATCCAAATACCATAGACTGTTTCAGTGAAGGCAACCTGGATCACTTTGTTTTTCATTCTGGAACTTCTGCAGATTTTCTTCAACCATTCAATCTCATCATCAAACTGCTGAACAGGCTTGGAGACATGTAAAATACCCAGAACCTTGTTCCAAACCTGTCTAGAGTACTCACAATCAAAGAATAAGTGTTGAACACTTTCATTACTATTCAAGCAAAAGAAACACCTTGGATCACAAGAGATGTGCCATTGTAGCAACCTATCCTTAGTAACAAGCCTATATCACATAGCTAGCCACAAGATAAACACACTTTTAGGAGTTGCCAAGTTATGACAAATGATTCTCTTCCAAGGAACCTTAGGGACTTGAGGTCTAATAGCAGCATAAAGCTTCTTGATTTTCATCATATTACCCTGTATGAAACCATCCCATCCCCCTTGATCATTCACAATATCTCTACAAGTTAGGATTTTCTTCAAAAACCAGGAGCATTTAGCAGGGATAGGAGTGGTCCAACAATCTTTATGCTTGAAATTATAAATATGGACCCACTTAACCCAAAGATTATAAGCCTTGTGAGCAATATCCCAAAGTAACTTAGTGATAGCTGCCTTATTCCACTCAGGGAGAGAAAGCAAGTTCCAGCCACCACAGACTTTAGGAAGACAAACATAATTTCATGCAACCAAAGATTTCCTAGCAGGAGCAGAGGAGCCAGTCCAAAGAAAGCATATGAATCCAGCCTAAATCTCTTTAAGAATTTTCTTTGGTAAGATAAAGATTTGAGCCCAATATGTCTGAATGCCAAACAACACACTCTTAACCAACTGGAGCCTCATAGCATAATACAAGTGTTTAGCCATCCACCCTTGAATTCTAGAAGTCACTTTCTCCACGAAAGGCCTACACTGAGCAATTGTAAGCTTCTTAGAAGAGAGAGGGACCCCAAGATATCTAAAAGGAATAGAACCTTGAGAAACACCAAGAAGCTCTTTAAGTTCTGCCTGAACATCAATAGAAACTCCTCCAAAGTAGACTTCATTTTTATCAAGGTTAGCAGAAAGACCAGAAGCACTAGAAAATTTGAAGAAAGCTTGGAAGAGAAGCTTGACAGAAACACTATCAGCTCTAGAAAACATCAACAAATCATCATATGAGTTAGGTTTAACTTTTCACATCTAGGATGAAAGTTAAAATCAAGAGTTAACCTAAGCTCATCAAGGCATCTGGACAGGTATTCCATACCAATAGCAAAAAGAAAAGGAGACATAGGATCACCTTGCCTTAAACCTTTCCTAGCTTCAAAGGTTGGGGTAGGGAAACCATTGATAAGAATAGAATAAGAGACAGAAGTAAGATAGGTCAAGATCTAGGTAATAAACCTTTGAGGAAAACCAAGCTCTTACATAACTGTAATCAAGAATCCCCACTCAACTGAGTCATAGGCTTTCTTCAGATCCACCTTAACCATGCATCTAGGTGAAATAAATTTATGATCATAGCCTTTGATCAACTAAGTTGCAAGAAGGATATTGTCTCCAATGTGCTTGCTTGGAATAAAACCTGCTTGAGCATCATCAATGACCTCACCAATGACAGCAGCAAGCCTAACAGTATGACCTTAGAAATAAGCTTATAAACCACAGTGCAACAAGCTATTGGTCAAAATCCTTAACATGAGAAGCATTAGGGATTTTAGGAACAAGAGTGATAATTGTGCAATTCCATTGCTTAGGCAAGATCCCTTTTGTAAAGAAATCAATAACACTTGCATAAATATCATCTTTCACAATATACCAAGCTCTCTTAAAGAAAAAGGAGTTAAAGCCATCAATACCAGGAGCTTTAGTGCTATCAATTCCCTTAAGAGTAGCATCAATTTCAGCATGAGAAAGATGCTGAATGAGATAGCTCTAAGCAACAGAGCTTAGCTGTTTACTTCTCCTCATAGTAACAAGATCAACAGCAGGAAGCCAAGGAGCCTTAGTCCCTAAAAGAGACTTATAGAAAGAAATAATCTCATGAGAAACAGAATCCGGGTCCTTAAGCAAAACATGGTTAGAGTCAAAAATAGAGTCAATTCTGTTCTTTGCTTGCCTATTCTTCATCACTGAGCAGGAAGCCAAGGAGCCTTAGTCCCTAAAAGAGACTTATAGAAAGAAATAATCTCATGAGAAACAGAATCCGGGTCCTTAAGCAAAACATGGTTAGAGTCAAAAATAGAGTCAATTCTGTTCTTTGCTTGCCTATTCTTCATCTCTGAGAAAAAATAATGGGAATTGCCATCTCTAAGCTTAATCCAGTTGATCCTAGACTTTTGTTTGAAGATGCTTTCTTGAATATCATTCCAGTGTTTGACAACCTTAATAGCATCAGATTCTTTTTCATATAAATCCAAATCATCAGGATTTTGAGCCATTAAGTTCTGAATTCCAGCAAGCTCAACAATAGCTTGATCAATCTTCTCAGCAATATTGCTAAACTGCTTGCTATTAAGAGACTTAATACTAGACTTCACAGAATTAAGCTTCTGCCAGACAGAACTACCAGAACACCAAGCCTGAGAAACAATATCAAGAAAATTAGGATGATCAGCAATACAGTTGAGAAATCTAAAAGGTCTACCTTTCCCAGCAGGAGCAGGACAAATATCCAAAAGAACTGGACTATGGTCAGATAAAGAAGGGGGAAGATAGACAGTTTCAACATGACCATGAGAGTCCAACCAAGCTTGGTTACCAAAGACTCTATCAATCCTAGAAAGAGTTCTAGGACCAGTGTGAGCCTTATTTAACCAAGAGTAGAAGGCTCCTTTGCTCTTGACCTCAGTGAGGTCCAAATCATCAACCAAACTCTGGAAATCTCTAGTCTCATGATCAGTAACATCAGTACCATGAAGCCTGTCTGAAGTATGAAGAACAGAGTTAAAGTCACTAGCACAGAGCCAAGGAGAATGTTGAATAGAGAGGTTTCTAATCCCTTCCCACATAGGAAGCCTATCATGAATAGAATGAAGCCAATAGACAACAGTGAGATGAACTTGAGTAAAAAGATCCTTAGAAAGAACACAACAATGTATAAACTGCTCATGAATCTTTAAGACATTGGCAGTTACTCTATCTACATTGCAACAAAGCCAAATCCTCCCTTTAGGTGAATGATCATAATTGCACACCCAAAGCCAAGAAGAGCCAAACTTCTTTTGGTAACTCAAAACATTTTTTGATTTAACTTTTGTTTCAAGAAGGCCAATAACATCAAAATAATGAGAATGAAGCAACCTCATTCAGGCCCCTGACATTTCAAATAAATAAATCATGACACCAAAGGGGGATGAACCTCACTCCTGCTTCGATTTATAGTTAAACCACCTGCACCATCCATTTCATTTGCAAATAAAGCAACAAAAGCATTAGAGGTAGAAGCAGGCTTATTAACCCTAGTTTGTTGGCTTTTTGTCTTCCTTCCAACTATTCTCCACCCCTCATCTGAATTTTGAGAAATATAAACATGTGCAGTGATAACAGATTGCCCATGAACAGAAGCAGAAACATCAACAACAGGAGCAGAAGCTTGACTAGGCTTAGGAACCCAGACCTACTTCTGCTTAGGTGCAACAGGAGCTTGTTGCTTATGAACCTGCTTAGGCTTAGCAGGAGCAGGTTTAGTAGAGCAATCATGACTAACCTTGTTGCACTTAGAGCAAAAAGGTGGAGCCCACTCATACACTACCTTGAGCTCCAACAGTTGCTTTGAAGGACTCTTAACCAGGACAGAAATAGGCATAGGCTTTGTAACATCAATTTCAATTAGAACCCTGGCAAAAGACACTCTAAGCTGTCTAGTAGTACACTCATCAGCACAAATTGGCACTCCAAGGAAACTGCCAATACGGCTAAGAGTGACAGATCCCCAACAATTAAGTGGGAGATTAGGAAACTTGACCTAGAGAGGAACATTTCTCAGAATTTCAGCACTGAAATAAAATTTAGGACACCAAGGCTTAACTATTGCTAGTTTTCTAAGGAACATATGAGGACCAGAACAAATTATAGTATCTTTATCATCACTAGAACACAGATTAATGATAAAGTACCCATCATCATGTAAATAAACATCTGGTGTCTGCATATCACTCCATTGTTGGGCAATAAAACGATGAACAACAACAATAGTAGGATAATTGACGCGGGTTATGGAACTTAGTGGAAGAAGTGGAAGACATTCCATGTGTCATGACACGAAGTAGGGCAAAGCTCCTTGGAGGTCACCTTTCGGGGCTTACCATCATCACACTTGAAGAAAAGAAGCTTATCAATATATGATGCAGCTACTTCATTCATCCATATCTCCTTCGTTACAAGGAATGTTTAGGTGATTCAAGTTGGAGGTGAAAGTAAAGTTCAAGAGCTTTCCAACGACTGGTCACATGCCAAATTTGAGCGAGAAACAAAGAAGTTATGAACATATGAAGTTGAGCTGTCCAGGAGCAGGGCAGTTCGGCCGAACCTACACTGTGGTTCGCCCGAACTCCCAGGCAGTTACAGAGCTGATTTTTGCATCTTTGCAGGACTGGCCGAACTCAAAAAGTTCGACCGAACCTACCCACAAGTTTGACCGAACTTACCCAGAGTTCGGTCGAACCTTTTCCAGTTTTTCTGCCAGTTTGTGCGAACTATTTAAGTTGTTTTAAGACGTTTTTGCATATTAATTTTTGTTGAACTTTGTAATCAAGAGACTTTCACTCTCTACCATAATATTTGTGATTATCTTGCTTTCTTTGTGATTTCATCCCTTGTAATCTTTGTGGTTATACCTTAATCTTAGCTTTACTTGGTGTTGGCTTTGATTAAGACCCCTATTTCATCTATCTTTGTGAATTTGAGATAGGTTATCTTGGTTTGTTGGTTTCAACTTGTTGTTACTTGATTTCTCCTCCCTTTTACTTGTCTTTCCTTGGATATTTCATATCATTTGGTATCAAGAGCCTAGGTTATTAGCCTAGAAAGATCCTACCTTTTTTTATTTTCTTTTTCCCCCTCTAAAAAAATCTCATCTTTTCCCACAAAAATTTGAAATTTCCCTAAAAAATACAAGCTTTCTATCTTCAAACATGGGTGATAGATACTATTATGAAGATGATGAAGGTTACAATGAAAACTCTAGATTGGATGCTCTAGAAAGGAAGTTTGATAGACTTCTTGAGGTCTTGGAGAATAGAAGAAGTCCTAGAAGGAGGAGGAGCCCTAGTGAAGAAGATGACTCTCACTCTCCTCACCGGAGAAGGGAACACCGCCAACTACACCATGAGGACAACCGTGACCGAGACATCAAGTTGGAATTTCCGGACTTTGAAGGTAATCTTGATCCCAATGAATTTCTTGATTGGGTTAGAAGTATGGAGAATGTGTTTGAATATAAGGGTTATAATGATGAAAAACGTTTCAAATTGGCCATCCTTAAACTCAAAAAACATGCTTCTTTGTGGTATGAGAACTTTAAGAATCGTAGGAAAAAATATGGAAAATCAAAAATCACTTCTTGGGAGAAATTGAAGAAACATATGAACAAGGCTTTTGTGCCTAGAGATTATTTCCAAGATTCTTATCTTTAATTGAACTCTCTTAAGCAAGGAACTATGTCGGTAGAGAAGTATACTAGGGAGTTTGAAAAACTTTCTATCATGAGTGGAGTTGAGGAAGCACCAGAGCATAAGATTTCTAGGTATATTGGTGGTCTTGAAAGAAAGCTTGGGCAAAAGGTTGATGTGCATGCCCATGGAAGTTTTGATCAAGTGGTGCAAGTGGCTTTGAAGTTTGAGAAGTATGACAAGGTGAGTAGTGATAGTGGGTATCCGAAGCCTACTTTCAAGAATTCTTTTGCTCCAAAGGGTGAGACAAGCAAGCCCATTGTCAAAGATGACAAAGGCAAGGCTCCCATGCATTTTCCTAACAAAGATGATCACAACAAGATGGGAAATCGAAAGACTTGCTACAAGTGTAGAGGCTATGGACATTTTTCTAATGAGTGTCCAAATAGTAGAGCTATGATGATTCGTGAAATGGATGATGATAAGTACGAAGATGAGAAGAGGGATTTTGGTGACCCTATATATGATGAGGAGGATGAAATTGTAGTTGACGCCGATGAGGGTCAAATCCTTGTAGTGAGGAGAGCACTTCACTCCATTTCCACCCCTTTAGCGGAAGAGCAAAGGGAAAAAATCTTCCAAACTCGATGCACCATCAAGGATCGGGTTTGCAATCTTATCATCGATAGTGGCTCTTGCACTAATGTGGCTTCAACAACATTTGTGAGCAAGCTCAATCTTGAAACTACCGATCATCCTACTCCCTACAAGCTTCAATGGCTTAACAATCACAATGAGGTGAAGGTAACGAAACAAACTCTTTTTTCTTTCTCAATTGGCAAGTTATATAAGGATGAGGTGCTTTGTGATGTATTGCCTATGGATGCTTGTCATATATTGCTTGGTAGACCTTGGCAATTTGATAGAGATGTGATGCATGATGGAAGAAAGAACACTTATTCATTCATGAGGGATAAGAAAAAGATTGTACTCAACCCCTTGTCCCCCACCATCAAACACAAAGAACCCTTGGGTACGGGAAACACAATCAAAGAGAACCTTCTCATTGGGGAAAATGAGATGGAAAAGGAGATAAATCAAGGACACATTGGCTTTATTTGTCTTCTTAGGGAAACAAAAGAGAGTGAGCGAGAGAACCCAATCCACCCCCTTGTCAAGGAAGTATTGGTTGAGTACCACGACGTTTTCCCCGATGATCTCCCACCCGGTTTGCCACCTATTAGGGGAATTGAACATCAAATAGATCTTATTCCCAGATCACAACTCCCTAATAGACCGGCTTATAGGTGTACCCGCGATGAAGCAGGAGAGCTTCAAAGACAAGTTGGTGAGTTGATTGAAAGAGGATTTGTAAGGGAATCCCTTAGCCCTTGTTCGGTTCCGGCTCTTTTGGTTCCGAAAAAGGATGGTACATGGAGGATTTGTGTGGATAGTAGGGTCATCAATAACATCACCATAAAGTATCGCTTCCCTATTCCCCGACTTGATGATATGCTTGATGAGTTACATGGTTCCAAGGTGTTTTCGAAGATTGACTTGAGGATGGGGTATCATCAAATTCGTATGCGTGAAGGAGATGAGTGGAAGACCGCTTTCAAGACAAAGCAAGGCTTGTATGAATGGCTAGTTATGCCATTTGGGCTTTCTAATGCTCCTAGCACTTTCATGAGGCTCATGAATGAGGTACTTTGCCCATTCATTGATAAATTTGTTGTTGTTTATTTTGATGACATACTTGTTTATAGCAAATGTGAAATTGATCATGCTAAACATTTGAGGCAAGTATTTGAAACATTGAGAAGTAGACGGCTTTTTGCTAAGTTGGAAAAATGTACTTTTATGGTGGATAGTATTGTTTTTCTTGGTTACGTGATTTTAAATGTAGGGATCTCAATGGAGCCTAGTAAAGTGGAGGCCATTCAATCTTGGCCTACTCCTACTACTCTCACTCAAGTTAGGAGTTTCCATGGTCTAGCTTCCTTCTATCGAAGGTTTGTGAAGAATTTTAGCACTATTTTTGCCCCGGTGGCCAAATGCATGAAGAAGGGTACTTTTGAGTGGACACCATCAGCTCAAAGGGCTTTTGAGAACCTCAAGAAGAAGTTGTGTGAGGCTCCAATCTTAGCTCTTTCGAATTTTGATCAACCCTTTGAAGTTGAATGTGATGCTAGTGGGGTTAGAGTTGGAGCGGTTCTTGTGCAAGGAGGGAGGCCGGTTCCTATTTTAGTGAGAAGCTTTGTGGAGCAAGAATGAGATATAGTACCTATGACAAGGATTTCTATGCTATTGTAAGGGCTCTTGATCATTGGTCACATTACTTAAGGCCTAGACCATTTGTACTACACTTCGATCATGAATCTTTCAAGTACATCAATGGTTCTCATAAACTTAATGCAAGGCATGGAAAATGGGTTGAATTCCTCCAATCATTCAATTTCTCTTATAAGTACAAGGAAGGGAAGAGCAATGTTGTTGTTGATTCTCTTTCTAGGAGACATTGTATGATCACTATTCTTGATGCGAAGTTTTTAGGGTTTGAGTTGCTTAAAGAGTTGTATCACGATGATGAGGATTTTGGTGGGTTGATGAAGAAGTGTGACGAAGAAGTCGATGGCTCTTTCATGGTGCAAGAGGGTTTCCTTTTCAAGGGAAACAAGCTTTGTGTTCCGAAATTCTCTCATCGACGGTTTCTTGTTAAAGAAGCTCATCAAGGAGGGCTAGCTGGACACTTTGGGGTTGCGAAAACATATGACATTCTTCGAGAGCATTTTTATTGGCCCAAGATGTTTGGTGATGTGCAAGATGTGATAGCTCGTTGTGGGGCTTGTCACAAGGCTAAGAGTCAATTCCGTGAAGGACTCTACTCTCCTCTTCCGGTCCCTAGTCACCCTTGGGATGATCTTAGCATGGATTTTGTGGTTGCTCTCCCTCACACTCAAAGGCAAAATGATTCTGTGTTTGTTGTGGTTGATCGTTTTAGCAAGATGGCTCACTTCATTCCTTGCCATAAGACCGATGACGCTTCTCATGTGGCTACCTTGTTCTTTAGAGAAGTGGTGAAGCTTCATGGCATTCCAAAAAGTATTGTGTCGGACCGTGAACCTAAGTTCTTGAGCTACTTTTGGAAGACTTTGTGGAAGTTAGTGGGAACCAAGCTCTTGTTTAGTACCTCTAGTCACCCTCAAACCGATGGCCAAACCGAGGTGACTAATCGTACCATGTCCACCGTTCTCCGAGCTATCATTAGCAAACACATGAAAGATTGGGATCTTAAGCTACCTTAAGTTGAATTTGCTTACAACCGCTCTCATTTCATAGCTACCGGGAAAACACCATTTGAAGTAGTGTATGGTTTTAATCCCCGCCTACCACTTGACTTGTTGCCTAGTATCCCTCAAGAGGAGTTGATCTTTGAGGCAAAAGATAGAGTTGAAACGATGAAAAGGCTTCATGAAGATGTCAAGAAGAGAATTGAGAAGACAAATGAGAGTTACAAGGCAAGGGCAAACAAATTCAAAAAGCCAAGGGAATTCAATGTAGGTAATCTTGTGTGGCTCCATCTTCGGAAGGAAAGATTCCCGGCTAAGAGAAAGAACAAGCTCTCGCAAAGATCCGAAGGCCCCTTTGAAGTTGTAGAAAGAGTTGGACCTAATGCTTATAAGCTTAAACTACCGGGAGACTTTGGTGTTCATGCTACCTTTAATGTTGGTGATCTTGCTCCTTTTCTCTTTGAAGATGATATTGGTGATGATGATCTAGAATTGAGGGCAATTCCTTATGAAGAGGAGGGGTTTGACGCGGGTGCATGGAACTTAGTGGAAGAAGTGAAAGACATGCCACGTTTCATGACACGAAGTAGGGCCAAGCTCCTTGGAGGTCACCTTTCGGGACTAACCATCATCACACTTGAAGAAAAGAAGCTTATCAATATATGATGCAGCTACTTCATTCAGCGATATCTCCTTCGTTACAAAAGGTTTTTAGGTGATTCAAGTTGGAGGTGAAAGTAGAGTTCAAGAGCTTTCCAACGACTGGTCACATGCCAAATTTGAGCAAGAAACGAAGAAGTTATGAACGTTTGAAGTTGAGCTGTCCAGGAGCAGGGCAGTTCGGCCGAACTTACACTGTGGTTCGCCCGAACTCCTAGGCAATTTCAGAGCTGATTTTTGCATCTTTGCAGGAGTGGCTGAACTCAAAAAGTTCGACCGAACCTACCCACAAGTTTGGCCGAACTTACCCAGAGTTCGGTCGAACCTTTTCCAGTTTTTCTGCCAGTTTGTGCGAACTATTTAAGTTGTTTTAAGACGTTTTTGCATATTAATTTTTGTTGAACTTTGTAATCAAGAGACTTTCACTCTCTACCATAATCTTTGTGATTATCTTGCTTTCTTTGTTATTGCATCCCTTGTAATCTTTGTGGTTACACCTTAATCTTAGCTTTACTTGGTGTTGGCTTTGATTAAGACCCCTATTTCATCTATCTTTGTGAATTTGAGATAGGTTATCTTGGTTTGTTGGTTTCAACTTGTTGTTACTTGATTTCTCCTCCCTTTTACTTGTCTTTCCTTGGATATTTCATATCAATAATAGCCAACCACATAGAAACCTAAAGCATTAGACCACTTTTTATTACCTGCATTAAGCTCAGATTCTTGAATTTGAGCAACTTGCTTCCCATCCGGAACGTTCGGAGCAACATAGGACAGGGGAGCTCCTTTAGTAGTCAGTTTACTAGAGAAGGGAACAGCTCGATCCTCACCATCATTATATACGTATTGCTCCGGGGAAGGTATAGAATGATGATCGGGAACTGTTGGCTCAGATCAATGCCCAGATCCTCCAGCAACCAACGGAACAATAAACCCAGAAACCCTAGGTACCGTTCTATTAGAAATCATCGAATCTGGTCTAGAAGTTGCTTCAGCAAATAGCTTAATAGTCTCAGCATCACTTCTGGGAATAGCACCATATGATGGATGCACCAATGCCGGCGCCGGAGTAATCAGCTCATCCACCTCCTGAATCGGACTAGGAAAAAATAAAGTGCCTGAATTCCTCAAATTCTGCAAAATTGTGTCTAAAGGTTCTTGAGTATTCTTCTGCTGTACTACTTGAGGTGTAGAAGTGTTCTGCTTCTTCTTCTTAGCCATCGGAGATCAAAATTGATGAAGAAACCGATTAAAGTTAAAGAACCATGAGAACAGAGAGAAGAGAGAAAGTCAATGAAAGTCAAGCCTATAAAAAGCTACATCATCCTCGAACTTCCAATCATGGTTCCAGAACTATTAGAGTTCACGATCTCCTGGATCGTTAAATGGTGTAACCTTCACCCCGTGAACGGTTTACAAGTTCCTAAAACTTGTTGGCGGCTCTTTTGCCCTAGCTTCCTTCACTTCGGACGCCATTATGCATTAGTGTATGATCACAGTGGGGTTGAAGTTTGGGGTAATGCTTGAAATATTACCAACAGGTTTTTTGCGACTCCACTGGGGAGGATTTCTATTTTAATTCCTGAAATTTATTTCGGCAATGATTTAGAATGAGTGGATGAGACTCAAAAAGTTCTAAGTATTTCATGTGCGTAATTTTGATTAACATTATTGTCATATGCACCCAAAATATCTCATTGGAAAGACCATCCGTAATGAGTTAAAAACATAAGATTTTTACACTTAGGAAAATTGAGGAATATCTTTCACAACTAGGATCGAAATAATGCTGCGAAGAACTGGAAAATTTTATCGAACACAGAAAGCTACTGAGGCATGTAGAAACTGGCGTCTAGAAAATAGAGTATGTCACCGACGACATGACTTTTTGCCGCCAGGCGACACGGCCATATTGCGGTGACAACCTATGTTCGCTGGCGCCAAGTTCTTCCAATACCGAGCCAGAAATATGTGTTATAATTTCTACCAGTTTTAGCACTGTTTTCTCGATTCTACTTCCTGATTGAGTTTTGCTCACTTTTTTGAAACCCATATGTGTTATACAAATGGACATTACCCTTTGGGAATTCATGCTCCATCTACTTGATTAAACGCTCTGTGCAACAAAGGGTACATCCGAAACCCATATGTGTTCTCACTTTTCTGAAACCCATATGTGTTCTACAAATCGAGTTTTTATCTCACGGTGTCTCATCCACTCGCGCCAACCCTTCAAAAGGTAAGGCTTCCGCGCGATACATCCGGACAAGTAACCATGGACCCTCTTTGACTACCCCATATCCCGAACTTTAGAGAGCTAGAGCCATGGTTAGGTTGCAAACTCATTGCATCATATTGTGCCTACTTGACTAATTCTGCATTATTTGTGGTGCATACTCTATGTGTTTTTCCTAACCATTTGTTTGACTTGTGTTTAAGACTAACTAAACTGATTAATGACTAAAAGGACTTTTTCTAATTATTTAATTAATTAATTTTAGTAATTTAGTACGACTTTAGGCATGTCTCAGAGAGTTAAAATAATGAAAGCAGTCCTAGATTAATGCTCCAGTAATGGCGCCACGATTTGGGCTGCAGCGCCACACTATGCTATGCAACGCCTGGCGACAACTCAGTTGTCCGGCACTGCACTCTAAAGTGCGGCGACAGTTCAGAATTTTGCTCAGGTCATCACGACGAGTCTAATTAAGCAGTTTGCTAATTAATTCGATTATTTTGTTAATAACAATACCTTTGTTAATTCCTTAATTGAGTCTAGACACTAAGTCCCATGGTCTTACACAAAAGTCAAAGCATATCACTTGCACTCACATATAAAGCACACACTTATATGTATATACACTTTGACCATTTCTAAGAGAGTCTTGTATGCGCGTGTTTTCCGTCATTTTTTGTAGGGGGTAAGTCAGATATTAATCCTCCAATTAAACCACCTGTTTGAACCTTATACTTTATTTCCAAAAATATACACCCTATTTTTTCTTTTTCTTTATAAACCCGTAAAGTCAAAGTCAATTTGAGTCAAGTCATTAAAATAAAAATGGTTTAATTTACAGCGCGTGGTCAAGAAAGGAAGGGCGTTTGATCAGAGACAACTTTTTCGTTTAAGTATAACTTTTTGACAAACTAATTGCTTGAAAAAGAAAAGCCAAGAAGATAATGGCGAGTCATGAAGAAGTTAACGAGCTCAAGAAGCAAATTGCTGGTGTTACTAAACTTCTGAAGACCTTAACCCAACAAGTTAATGATCATATGAAGCAACAACAAATGGATCTTATGAAAGAATGCTTGAGCAAGCTATCT